TAGAAGAAAAAGTAGGCAACAACATTTTAGACATAAATGCAACAGAATTTTCATTGATGCAATGCCTAAAGCAAGAGAAACAATGGGAAAAAATGAATAAATAGGACTACATTGAACTAAAAAGCTTCTGCACAGCAAAAGAAACAACCATCACAACGGAAAGGGAACCCACTATATGGGAGAGCATAATTGCCAACAATACATTAGATGAGAGGTTAATTTTCAAAATATATAGAGTACTCATGCAACTCAACAAAAGAAAGTCAACGAATGCAATGAAAAAATGGGCAGAGGACCTAAACAGACACCTTTCCAAACAGGACATACAAATGGCTAAGAGACATGAAAAAGTGCTCAGTATCACTAACCATCACAGAGATGCAAATTAAAATGACTATGAGGTATCACCTCACACTTGCCAGAATGGCTGCCATCAACAAATCATCAAACAAGTGCTGGCGAGGGTGTGGAAAAAAGGAGACTCTAGTACACTGCTGGTGGTAATGCAGACTGGTCCAGCCACTATGGAAAACAATATGGTGTTTCCTCAAAAAATTAAAAATTAACTGCCATTTGACCCCACATTTTCACTTCTAGGAATATATCCTATGAAGCCTGAATCACCAATCAGAAAGAACATATGTTCCCCTATGTTCATAGCAGCACTGTTTACAATTGCTAAGATCTGGAAATAGCCCAAGTGTCCATCAATAGATGAGTGGATAAAAAAGCACTGGTACATATACACAATGGAACACTACGCAGCTCTACATAAAAAAGATCTCTTATCATTTGAGGTGACTTGGAGGGACCTGGAGTGTTATGCTAAGCAAAATAAGCCAATCAGAGAAAGACAAATATCACATGATCTCATTTGTGGAATATAATGAATAAACCAAACTGATGAACAGAATAGACCCAGAGACATGGATGAGGGGTACAGAATGACAAACCTCAGAAGAGGGAGATTGGGGGGAGGGAAGAGATAAAATACAGAACTTATATGTATGTATGCGTAACCAATAATCATAGACACCCATGCTGGGGGGTGCGGTATCGGGAGGAGAGTGTCAATGAGAGAAAAAGGAGACACATCTGTAACAAAAATAAATTAATAAAAAATAAATTAAAAAGTAAAAAGTACAAGAGGAACCATGTGGTGAACTGAGGTTGGCTACCACTAATGCCAGGCCTGGGGCCACTTAGTCAGAGGTACAGGGCACACAGAGGCCAGATGCTGTTTGTTTGAGGTGTGTGAATCTTTGAGAGATTTTAGGAAAGTTCACAGCCTGAGCCAAGAAAGGTTGTTCATATGAAACAGCCACTGGAAGCGGCTTGTGGGGTCTGAAAGTTGGGTGGGGCAGGGTCTCCGGGAATCATCAAGGCAGAGCAAACAGTGTGAGCAGGTTGCTGGAGATTCAGATATGGCACCTGTCTCCTGGCTCTGTAGGGGTAGAATTCAGCCAAACACGGTGGCCTCTGTCACACTCTGTGAGAAAGCTTCCCCTTCAGCCCTAATCTTGAAGCCAGATAATTTAGTTTCTTTTCATATGACCCTGATGCACCTTGGAGCAGCTGCCCCAGTTCCGGAGTCAGAGCCAGTAAGTCCAAGTAAGTTTGAGTCCAAGTAAAAGGTAGAGTCTTCTTTGTCACTTAGCAACAATCTCTGCTTGTTTCCACAACCAGATGTTATGGGGATTTTTCTTTCTGAAACTAGTACCCTAGTCAGGGGCTTTTAGTGTAGGCTGGGACCCCTCATTCCTCATGGAGGACTTCTGATGCTGAGATATTCCTCAAGATTTTTAAGCCCTATCTGTGTCCTCCCCCTTTTTACCAGTTCTAATGTGGCTTCTTTTTTATATCCTTAGTTATAGGACTTCTCTTCAGCTTGATTTCAGGTGGTTCTCAATTATGGTCATTCTGGATTTTGTTTGTAATTTTGATGTGATTGTGGGAAGTTCTGAGTACCGCATTTACCTACGCCACCATCTTGACTGGAAGCCACATAACATTTATTTGCATTGCTATAGAAAAAAAAAAAACCAATTGCATTATTATTTTATAAGTATTATTTCTATCTATACAGTTATATAATAGACTGGGTGATGAATATTCAGAGTGTGAGATAGGATAAGTGGTGATACAGCTGCAATCAATACAAGCTGCAGGAACTGTCAACAAGTAAGCAAAACCATCCCCCACCAACACATTTATGGTTTAAAACTGGCAGAGTCCAGCTTGATCCACCGTGAGAATTACTTTTACCTAATGGTAATCCCTATCCTTATAATGCATTGTAATACTTTAGCATGTAAATGACACACCCCTCAATGCCATCATTGGAATTTGAAAGCCCATATAAAGACACAACATGGCCAATGGGACTCCTCCAAGAAATCTCCACTCCTTTCCTGGGAATATCCTAAATATTCCTTCCCCCTATTTAATACCCTGCCCCCTTGCCCAGCTGGTGTGGCTCAGTGGTTTGAGCATCGTTTCATGGACTGAGAGGTCCTGGTTCAAGCCCCAGTGAGGGCACATGCCTGGGTTGTGGAATCAATCCCCAGTGAGTGGCAGGCAGGAGGTAGCTGATTGATGTTTCTCTCTTACATTGATATTTCTATCTCATATCTCTCTCTCCCTTCCTTTCTCTCTAAAAATCAATAAAATTATACACATATTAAAAAGTACCCCACCCCCTTGATTAAATGAACCTCAGTAAAGAAAGCAAATTCCGCCAAAGGGGAACTACCATGTCTCCGGAGTAGCCCACTTTCTATCTCACTGCTTCACTAATAAACTCACTTTTACTTTAAATTCCATGCTGTGTTGTGTTTGAATTACATACTGCATGAAGCCAAGAATACACAGTGGGTTTCAGACCCTCAGGACCTCAGACCCCCAGAAAGCCTCATAAAATCAGGTACTCTCCAGAAGATCTGTTAGACAATGTCCAGTGCTCCATTGTAAAGACACCTGTAATTTCCAAGTCTTGGACATTTCTTCCCGGACATTAGCAAGATATCACCATAATGTTTTCCAAGGCAAAATGGAATTCCCCAGTCTGGACACCCAAAAAATTCTTACAGCATGTTAAAGACCTTTTGATTGAAAGGTCAAGTAAAAGTACAAATAACACAGCGTGCCAGGAGTGTTTACTTTATTTGATTTCTTTTTCACTTTATAAATTTGAAAGGCAGAATTTGGTGGTGGTTAATAACACAGACTCTGCAGTCAAGTTGCCTGGCTTTCAATTGTAGTTCCAAGGCTATATGACCTTGAACAAATTAGTTCACCTCTCCATGCCTTATTTTCCTCATTTGAAAAATAAGAATGATAGTATTTGTCTCATAGTTTTAATGATTATGTAATTATTCATTAATAAATAATGTATTATCAATTATTATTAAGTATTATTTTTGTGTGTGTGCAAAACTTAGGACAATGTCTGGCACATGGTTAACATTATAAAAATTTGTTGAAGAAAATTTTACAATATAACACAAATGGAGGTAGAAGGAAAAAGTGTTCACTTTTAAATCTTTGAAGGCATTTCTCATGAACACACATAAAACTGGGACGGGTGTGCTTTGGACCTTAATTCCAATGTACCATTACTTAAGAGAAACTGTTTACTTCTGAATTACCTAAGGCCAAAGACATGTCAACAAGATACCATTAAGTTTTCTTTTGATGCTAGTCCTGTGGGGGTTGTTTCTTCTTTTAAAGGAATCCAGCATTTAGTTTCCCCTATGGAAATAATATTTTTCTAAACATAACTTGATCCTACTCTCTGTAAAGACAACTCTAGGATTATTATACTGCAGCACATACTTGAGAATGGATCAAAGCTATGAAGGACAGAAAGCTTCACCACATATAGATTCTTTTTTTTTATTTTTTTTTATCCTCACCCAGGACATTTTTCCATTTTTTGTTCAGGTAGAGTGGGAGGGAGAGAGAGGAACAGAGAGAGAGAGAGAAAAAAAGAGAAACATCGATGTGAAAGGAACACATCGAGTGGCTGCCACCCACACAACCGACCAGGGCCGGGGACAAACTGCAACCGAGGTACACGCCCTTAGCGGGAACCGAAACTGGGTCTCTCTGGACCGCAGGCCAATACGCTCTAAACGCTGAACCAAACCGACCAGGGCTATAGATTCTTTTTGATTCTCATATTTTCCCTGATCTCAGTTCATTCTACTAGCCAAGAATAATCATCAAAGCTGAAATGAACTTAACATTTTCTTGGATCTTGAGTATATCAATCAGCAGTGATCTGAAAGTAAATGAAAAAATTCCAAGCATCCCACAAACATATAAGACATTAGAGGGAGTTTTAATATGTGTGCAACCAACAAAATAGGGATCATGTGTGTCAGGATAGTCAAGAAAATTGATACAAGGCTGGCCAAGCAACCAGCATGATCTTCTCTCCATATAATATACATCATTTTTTTCCCCACAATAAATCAATGAGAAAATCTAATATTTTCTCCTAAATTTAAGGAAGCTAAGATTTCATTTCTTTCCAAGGTCACACAGTAATTACATGGCGCATATTGTGAGACTTGATCTGCAACAGAAATTTTACCAAAATGGAAAGCTCCTATTTCATTCTTTCTCCCCTTCAGGTTTGTGGTCATCCCTATAGGTGCTCCTTGGAGTAACACCCAGTCTGGAGAATGTTTTCTTGACATGAGACCAAAGATTCAGATGGCTTTAAACAAGTAGTCAAAGTAAACACAACCTGTCTATTGTCAAACTTTATAACAGAATCAAGTAAAAATAAACAATGAGGGTTTTAAAATTTAAAAAAAAATCTTTTGTATTTTGTATAATTATTTATCTATATGATCACTTATCTATGGCATATAGATTTTATCTTATTTTATGATCTGTGCCATTATTTAATGTTACACTAGGCACATAACAAGTATGCAATAAATGCTTATTAAACTGGAGTAACTTGGCAAACACCAGTAATTATACCATTCCTAACAACCAAAGTTGGCGTTGCTTTTCTCCATTTTGGTGACACGATTAGTTAGAACGTCATATTCAAGTAGGTTAGATCCTTGGTAAAAATAGTAGTGTCCTAAAAATGAAAAAAAAAAATTAATTCTCTGCTTGTATTTCTTTGAAAAAGATAGCATATCCATGTTTTTATAGATTATCTACATTAAACAAGGTCTGACTCAAGCATATAAATACTGGGTCCCTTGGCCCCCAGGTAGCCACCTACTATCAGTCATTTCACCATAAAATATCTTAATTAATTTTATTGAGAAGGTTGTTTAGATTTTTTGTAATGTTTTTATTGATATTTTAGAGAGAGATAGAAACTTCAGTGTGATAGAGAAACAAATCTCCTGCCTCCTACATGCCCCCTACTGGGTATTGAGCCTGCAACCCAGGCATGTGCCTTGACTGGGAATTAAACCAGGACCTCTCAGTCCATGGGATGATGCTCAATCCTCTGAGCCACAATGACCAGGCAAGGTTGTTTAGTTTTAAAGCCTGACTATTAGCATGCAAATGTTTTGAAAATGTACATTCCAGGTGGAGAACTCTGAGTGGGAGAGAGGAGACTGGGTCCGGTTAGGACATACAGAAGCCTTGATGAAGGAAGTAAAAAGGACATGGGTGGAAAAAAACAACAAAATATCTTGGCCCAGTCAACAATTTTGCTTAGGTTGACCTTGTTTAAAGACATTCACAAACACAAATTCAAACAAATGTAAGCTTTTTATTCCACCCTACCCTCATTCTTTGAGAGCCCATGAAGAATGAAAGGAAATGAAAGAAAGATAAGGAATGCAAGGTATAAAAAAGTATGAAAGACTCAATGTTTTAAAAAGAGATTTCAAGTATCTTCACAATTTCCCAGTCTACTTACTGTTATAATAGAAGACTGCATCAATTTTAGGCTCAATTCCCAGGAAGTGTGCAACAATCAGTTTGGGATAACCAGGGTCCATGAGTCGTTTTCTCTCATCATACCTGAGCAAAAAAAATAACCAGTAGGAACTTCATCAGAAACAGATTTCATGACACAAACTTGACATTTCATGACATGAACAGCAAAATCCACCTATTTCTCTCCTGAAAGGCTCTTACTAAAAGGGTTTAAACTGCCCTGATGAGAAAACCAAGGACTTAAAAGTTCACTGATTTATTCCAAGTTCCTACAGGACTCTATTCCAAGTCTTCCTGACTACTAGTCAACACTTTTCTCACATGCTTCCACCAGTGCCCTGTCCTGCTTTGTAGAGTCTGGTTATCCAATTATCTGTTAGTAAAGACCTTGCAGGATCAGCCATCACTCAGGCTAGTTTGCTCATTTTGTCTAATGATTATGTGGGTCTAATGATTATGGAAAGGGATCTGAAGCTTCGTACATCTTCTAAACTGACTGTAAAGATTAGGCCCCATGCATCTCTACCATTGTTTGCCAATGTGCTTCCTCTATGAGTAATCCCATGACATTTTATATAAAGCATTCCTTTAAAATTCATTATGTGTTATCTCATAAGTCAGAATCTAAAAGTCCAGAGAAAAAAAAGTAAATTGTCAATAACTATTTCAGTCCTATATTTTCTTGATCCCTCTCCATAGAAGATCAAAAATCTTTGGGAATTTGCAAAAATAACAAAACAAACAAACCCTGTCTTCTAAGTCCCATTTCCTGCCTGTTTCACAATCAGGAGTCAAATTACAAATCATTAAAGCTCACCTCCAGTACTGATGATCTACAAAGAAGTAGGTCTTATAGAGAAGTGGGTTAAAAACAGCTGCATCAATTTTTTTTACAAAGCCAGGAAAGCCCAAAGAATGTATGCGCCTGGGATTGGTTGGCTGTGGTCTTAAACTGCTGATTAACCAGTACTTATCATCTGTGAACACAAAGGAAAAGGGTACATTGGAATCATAGGAAAAGAGTAATAGAAATATATACTAACTCACTTCAGACATCATTTTTTCCCATAGGTCCAAAATATATTGTTTCTTGGTCTTTTTCAATTATTATTATAATTTTAGATCTTGAATATGTTTTTATTTATTTGTTTTTAGAGAAAAAGGAAGGGAGAGAGAAGTAGAAACATTGATGTGAGAGAGAAATATTGATCCCCTACTGGGGATTGAGCCAGACTGGGAATCCAGCCAGGACCTCTCAGTCCATGGGATGTTGGTCAATCCATTGAGCCCCACCAGCTGGGCTGTTCCTTGTTCTTAAACATGGCCTATATCTTATGGTTCTGTATTTTTTTTCCCCACAAGTATCGCAATCTATATTTTACAAACTTTTTCTGAAAGTTTTATGTATTATTTATTTAATCTATTTTGGGTTATACTTCAGAGTACAATTAATACAATTTGGAGTGCTTTTTAAAATCTCCATTTATGAAAAGTAGTACATTTCCTTAGTTTATTCTCTTCTTTGAAGTAGACTCAATAGCAAAACTAAACATTGGAATTACCTTTAAAAAGAAAAACTTGTCTTCTGGGTCCAATTTCATAAGCAGCTTGAATACCAGATGGTAAGGTTGGCCACATAGAAGAAATTAAACTAACAGTGGTCTTTGGCTCCTCAGGAAACTTCCACCACAAGTACCTGACATGTAGAACATTAAATATATGTTAAAAATAGTTACAGACACAAGAACCATGAAATGTGAGTGGAAAAGACCCGTGAAATGTTTTAATGTTTCTTTCCATTATCTTCACATTCTATTCCATGGATGTCTGTGTGGGAACACCACAAGAAAAAAATGTTCATCAACACTTTGATAATAGCAATGGTATTAACAGGCAAACTGTTGTGTGGAAATACCCTGCATCTTGGAATAAAAGGATCTATGTTCTAGGCTGGCCCACCAATCCATTCACTAGTTTTATAATCTAAAGGAAGTCACTTATCCAGAAGTGTCTCAGTGTATGAATCTCAAAAATGAAGAATATCTGTCCTTGCTATCAAATACTAATCTTCCATATTTACCCACACCTTCAATATACGCTTCAGTCTATGTTGTAAGACATAAACCATAACTCTTCCTGAAATTCCCTTCTCTATGGTCAATTTTCATATACTTTAAATAAGTATCCTATCACAGCTTTAATTTTAGACATTATTTTTATTTATGAGTAAAACAGTCTGGCTTCTCTGTTTCTTGTTTTATTTTTTCTAACCCAGATTCCTACTGTAAATCCACTGTATAGATGCCATTTTCCTAGTTAAGACATAAATATAATCATGCGACTGTTGTGCTTCAAAATATTTAAGATTTCTCCACTGCCGACAGAATTAAGTCCAAGTTCCTACTCATAATTTATATCTACTTCATTTTTTATTATTTTCAACTATTCTCGAACAACAACAAAACACACCTTAGGAGAGAGCCTTTAAATTTGGTTAGGTATGAAAATGACCCTACCTGTCTTTAAAGTAAAAGATTTTATTTCCCATTGTAGTGACAGCATCAAAACGCAAATAAGGATCACAGAAAGGGGATTCTGTAATGCCAGCATTCGGTGTGGGTTGGTGCTTTTCTGGAACTCCTGAAAATACATTTCAAGAAGCATATATAGTTTTTGGTTCATAGAGGAAGAATCATTCTTTTAAAATTTTCTTGATGAAAATTGCATAAAAAGCTATTTATAGTTTTTACATTACAGGAAGCATACAATAAAGTTTTCTCTCCATGTGGTTGCACCATTATGGAGGGGGAAAAATTCTGTTCCCGTTGGTTTTCTTGTTCCAGTTAGATTTTTTCTCTGTGCACTTTCTTCAGTAGACATTGGTATGTTAGGCAGAAAGAACAGATTTGAGGCCAGAAGGATTAGGTTCTGTCTCTGGCTCTGGCAATAATACACTAGGCCTCTTGTGTTCATCTCCAAATGAATATAATAGGTAGTCTGTGCTACCTATCTCACAGGGTTTTATTGGGTTCAAAAGCAAATACAGTTGTTAATGTTTTATCCAAATGCAGGCATTACAAAACGATTTATTCATAGAGTAAGTATCTTTATAGGGAAAAATGGTAAAGAAATTCAACTCACCATAGAGAGACTGAATGTTATGAATATCATCAGCAGAAAGGCGAAATGAGTTGAGGTTAACATAACTATAGGTGGGGTACATGATGGCCTTTGGATTTTTGGAATGGGGAAGACCCAAGGCATGGCCAACCTCATGAATAGCAACTAGGAACAAGTTGGTGCCTATGAGGAAACCAACCAAAAGGGGAACAGAGCATTAAAATATATAGGTATCTAGAAGACATTACTACAATTTAAATTGGACACAATGAAAAAGAAAACCTTCGGGCATTCTTTCCTTGGCTTCCTTCCTTGCAAGGTTTTTCAACTTTGGCATTATTGACATTATAGACCAGATAATTGTTTGTAATAGATGTTTAGAAACCTCTAATTTACCATTAAATAAGTAGCAAATCCCTCTTCAGTTTTTACAACCAAAATGTCTCCACACATTGTCTAATGTCCCCTTGGGAGTAAAATGGCCTCTGGTTAAATTCTGTTCCTGTTGGTTTTCTTGTTCCAGTTAGATTTTTTCTCTGTGCACTTTCTTCAATAGACATTGGTATGTTAGGCGGAAAGAACAGATTTGAGGCCAGATGGATTAGGTTCCGTCTCTGGCTCTGGCAATAATACACTGCACTATCACACAAATGACATATATTCTGATGTGAACATTTCTAGATTAACTCAGAGCTGTGTTCAATAGTCTGTAAATCACTGTCTGTAAATCATTCCCACTTCATTCCACTTTTACTCTTGATCAGTCCTGAGTGGATATAAAAAAGTCTTTAGTAAACATTCTTTACTAAACCCAAATACAAGACCATATTAAGGTCCAGGTACTATGAGTCACTGAGAAATACACCACATTATGATGTCTAATCCTTATTCCACTGAAAGGAAGCCATCATACTCTCCATTTACAAATGAGGACACAGTGTCAGCAAGATTAATTGACCAAATTAAGTGCTGACCCAAGATTCAAGTCTGCATTTTTTGGCTCTAAATAAAGCTCATCCTTTTACTATACACAATTCTAAATGCAATCAGAGACTCTGCTTACAAGTTAGGTATCTTTACACTGCCAAGTTCTAGTCATGCTTGTTCATTTTTTTTCTGTATGTCTAGAGCATGTACCTTTGTAGGTAAGAAACAGAGGTGTGTCCTTTCTCCCAAGGTTCTCAATTCCAAGAAGATTAGAGTAATCCTTTACTGTTAGTTTTTATCTGTGTTCTAGTCTAATGCCTTCATTTTTGTCTTTCTGTTTCTGTGGCAAAACTGAAACTGAGAACTGACTTGCTCAGCATCACACTCCACTTAGCCTCAGCCTGGTTTTGAAATACTCTCCATACCCAAGTGTGAACACAGAGTCTACACTCCTCCGTTGGGGTATCTAGGAACATTCCCTGTAACACAGGGGCTTAGCAATCAACTCAAAAATCTTTAGTTTCTCTCAAATAATGAAAAAGAAGCATAGACTCTATATAATACAAGGAAGAGTAAACCAAGCCTTCTACATTTTGGCCTAAACCTAAATGTATCTTATTCCCAATTCATATAATACAATCCATAAAAGACAACCACTGGTTCTTATCTCAAAATAATGGGTTTCCATTTGTGTTCTGTTTTTTTTTTTTTTTTTTGCTAGATTGTGTCCTCCTCTGGGGCAGGACTGTATCTTTTTCATCTCTGTATCCAAACACCCCCGTCACATCATCTAACACTATAATAAAAACTCACTAACCATTGAGCTAATTGCTTTTTTAACTTACAGTGTCAAAAAATTAGGTTGGGGATGAGCACTTTAAGTTAGAATTTTTATAATTTAGCTATTTAAAAATATAGAATCGAGCCAAGGCAACATGAACAGGTAGAAAGTATACATTAGCCTAAGATAAGAATTAGGAAATGCATGTCTGACCCCAGCTTTTCACAAGTTAGCCACTAACTTTCTCTTGGTCTCAATTTCCTCTAACTGTAAACAATTATATTAATGATTTTTAAAGGTCCTTTAGAATTTCAAACCATTCTAGAATGGTTGACTTGAGAGTAGCACAAGTCTCCCACGTCAAATGAAATGATTATAAACCCCAAATAAACTTGCACAAAATTTAGACAAATTAAACATGTTTAGCTGAAAATTTTTAGTTTAGACAAACCTAATCCTACATCATTTGTCTTTTGACAATGTAAAAGTTCTCTTATCACTCAGTAATTTTTTAAACTTTAGATCATGTGTGAGACTAAAGCAAATAGTCATTCTGGCCTGTAAACTATTGCTATCTAATGTTTGCAGTATCACAGGGAAATGGGGATGCTGAGGAAAGCATATTCTTGATGACTTTCTCTCCATTTACTTTCCACATGAGTCAGTCATATAATCTAGAATTTTCAACAGAGGGATTCAAAAGGTTTCTGATATGATGGTTCAAATTTTCCAATGGATAGTGATTCCTCCAAACAAGGGAGACTAATTATCTCATCTTCCAACTTTTTGATAGAAATGGTGACTTACAGCCCCCCTGTAAATACATACAAGTTATTACATTAAGTGATCTGTTGAGCATTCTGACAGTTTTATCCCTGAACCACAAGAGACTACACAACCACAAAGTATTGCGCATCTCTATGAGGACCTCTAAATTCTCTACAGCATCATCTTTCTGTGTCTTTATGAACCTAAGGAATTATCAATATATAATGAATCAGAAAGATAACCACACTATTTTAGGACTCTTAGCATACACTGAATTAGTATCTGTGTTTGCGTGAATTTATGGATTGCACTGTCAAAGCTGATCATTTAACAACTTTTACTTTTACATACAATAGTTCTCAAGGTTCTTGAATTTATACCAACCAAAGAGCCCATCCTCAGATTCTTAAGAACTAATCTTTAAGATATTCTAGTTCAACAGCCTCAGTTTATAGAATGTAGAATTGAGACAGTTACATTTTATTTGGTGGTAAGGTTATAATCAAAACAAGTTTTGTCCTTCCATAACCTTTTCTTACAATGTCGCCTTTCAAAATGGTGGTGTAATTTAGAATTTGTTAGGGTTTCATTTTTGTGGGTGTTTTTGTTGTTTTTGTGTTTGTTTGTTTGTTTTTTCCTACCTTGGTAGCCTTTAGTCCACATTTCAGCCTCATCAAAATGTGCATCCCCTCCAATACCAGGTCCAGGTCCAAAAGCATGAGCTACAACTCCACCTCTGCCATCAAAAGGATTACGGTCTCCATGAGCTTTTAAAAAGGAAAAGAAAATGAGTCCTTCTATAGATACTATAGGTCATGCCAAATGACAGAGATGTAATAGGTCCAAGTTCTTTACCTCCAAATGCAAAACGTATCATAATGTCAGCCTCTCCTGCATTAATCTTTCTGAATTTCAGGGGGGTCACATCGCTCCATACTTGAAAAGCTTTGTGGATGGTATAGTCAACATCCTCACGCTTCATGTCAGGAGTATAATTAGTGATTCTTTATCAGCAAAATGAAAAAGAGAAAAATATATGGGATTATGTGTTAATTTTGTCTTGTTATGATATTTTGTTTCCACTAGCATCTTGGAGAATGAATTATTTAATAAATTAATTGTCCCAATATAAAAATCATGCTTCTTATATTTCAGAAACATTTGCACAGCTTCCATCCCTAAACAGAATCTAATTTGATTGTTTCTCATTCATGATTTTTAGATCACCATTACAACGAAAGATTTACATTCATAGAAGTTTATGCCTTATGTCCATTCTCCAAGACTTCATTTATTCATCTTGACTACTCTAGAAAATTCTCTCCTGTGTCTTAGTTATTGTATATTTAACTTCATTCTCTTTTTGTCTGCAGCCTTCCTACTCTGGTCTGGACTGGCAAGCCAAACAATCCTTGAGTGAACAAGTCTGCATTTTAGAGATAATGAATCGAAATGAAGAGATAGTGTTAACTGTTGGGGGAGGCTTCTTATTTAACACTGGATTTAGGGTTATATCTAAATCGTTCAGGTTTCTGGAAGTAAGACCTATGGAAAAATAGAATAATACATGGGTATGATGTTACCTGTAGGTAAGAAAATGTTTCTTCCATACTGGCTTTCTTGGCATTGACTTGAAAATTTGAACATCAGGTATTCCACATCGAGGTCTGTGCATCATGTCCATGGTAGATTTGTCCAGTTGCCCCGTCACATTTAGTCCCAAGAACTGTTGCATTTCCTTAATTTTATTCTCCATGTTGTCATCACCAGCTTTCAATTTTGTCCTTAAAATGTTCTCCTCCTTCATGGCATAAAAGGTTTTCAAGAAACTCTGGAAAAAATACATTTAGTACCACATTATTATACATCTAAAAGTTTCTGTTGGAGCTCTGCATATATGACTCAATTGCACACTGATATTTTTGAAATAGGTATCTGACAATTAGTTATAATGAGAACAATTTTAATTTTTGTGCTGTCACAGACGTGTCATAACTATTAGCAAGATTGATTCCTGGAAGCCCACTGAAAACAACTTTATGTCTCTACCTCTTAAAGCTTATTTCTAGCTTTTAAAACTTATTTTAACATCTAGCACATCATGGCATTCAGTAAGCAGCCAAAACTTTATCTCCAGGATTCATAAATAATTAAGATGGGATAAGATTTTCTTGCCTAAAAAGCTCAACATAATGAACAACTATGACAAATTCAAAGTTAAAACAGTCTTAGATAATGGGAAAATTATCTGAACTCATGTCATTAGGGGAAGAAAATTAATTGAGAAAATTATTTTTAAAAACTGCTCAGGAAGAAATATCTGAGATACTGAAGGTGAAGAGTATTCTTGAATTATCATGACTGACGTGGTTACGTTAATCAAAACATTGTTCAAATCTCAGACTATTAACCAACATTAAATAGTTCATGTAAAACACCATAACAGAAGTAGGACACCAATTATTTTGAACTAAAACTCGTTGGCCTAAGATTTTTAGTATAAAGGACCAATTTAGCCATCGAATTTATAACACTCCTTCAAAAACAATACCTCTTTATTACATCCTCTTTGGCAAATAAAAATTCAGGCTAAAATCAGGAACCTCTTAAACCAGTTTTCAAATAATACTTTTTAAGATAAAACTGGTCAATGCAGTACATCTTAAAGACAGATATCAGGTCTGATAAATACTGTAACAGTTAATACTTACTTGCGCATATGTCACATTGTTTTCCTTAGATGTTGCCAAAGAAACAGCTCCAGGAGCAGTGACCTGCAGGACCAGTATCAACAGAAGAAACTTCATTCTCAAGTTCTCCTGAACGACTTGTCCTAAGTCACTGGTCCTTTTTAGTACAAGTTCCTTAAACGTCTCTTTATATAGCCTTTAGGACAGGCTCTGTAAATATGAAATCCTTAAGTGACACATAGTTGATATCATATGTCTATGTATCTCAAAACCCACAACCACAAGCATGACCTTACTCTAGGACCAACAATGAGTCAATTAGCAATGAAGTCATTACTCAGATAACTGGAGGTTATATTTCTTCAAATAAAATAAGCCCCTACTTCTACCCACTCTGCAAAATAAGCTATTATACCAAAAATGCTGAGCACCTGAAATGTATAAACAACTAAAAAATAAATGTTTAGAATGTTTAGTACCTGGATTTTCACTGTAATACTTTATATTCATTATAGGTGAACTATGCTTTTATTTAAAAATAAAAGCTAAATTTAAAGGGTCGGATAAATAAAATGTTTTGCTAGCATAGAAGAATCCTCTCCAAGCTGAACCTAGCTCTTTAGAGGACAGTGATATAGAGAGTTCACGTTCATCAAAGAAAAGTTTATAACATCTAGATGGCTTTGGTATTTGTTCTATGTGTTGTACAGGCTTAGATCCCGTTTCTATAATTGACATCTTCAGCCATCTGAACGAAGGCCCATTCCCAACTGAGTAGCTGAGTAAAGAGATTCCAGAAGAAAATTTTCCTGGAGGAAAGTGTCTGGAGTGAGCAGCATCAAAGTCGACACTTCAACTTTGGGAGATGGAGAAAGTTTGCCTCCATAACCTCTACCTCCCTATAGCTCAACTGCCTTCCCCTGTGGCCTAATAATCCCATTAACACAGACTCTCCCTCTCAGTCAATAGAGAATGTTTGAAAACTGAAAATATTTAAGAATCAAGGAATGGGAGAGGGTCAATGGGGAAAAAAGAGGGACATCTGTAATACTTTTAATAATAAAAATTAATTAATTAATTAAAATAAAATCAAGGAATGAACTGTGAAGGTCAAAGTGCAAGCTGTGGGGCTGCCTCCTGATTCTACATGAACAGTCTAAGGTGGTTTCAAGAGATAAAATAGTCTGTCATAATTCAGCCACTGCTCTGACCCATCTTCCAGGCCAGAGAAATGCTGCTCCCCAGCATTCCCTGAGGCTGGGGTCCAGGAGAATGCGTCCCTTTGTGTGTAGGAAGGAAAGGAGGACTTTTGCATTATACCTGGCATCTGCTTCCAAACTCTGCTTTTGTCAAGCTCTGGGATTTGACCTCTAAAACCTGCAGGTATTTCATTTGAAAATGAGAATAATAACCTTGGTTTTTTTATGCTTTTGTGATGACTAAATGAAACAATGCATTTTAAATACCAGCACATACTATGGGTTCACACTAATATTCATTCTCTTCCCCTTGGCCTGAATGGAGCACATTGTACATCTTATGTTTGCAACCAGGTGTGGCTGTAGGATTCAAGAAAAGAAAGTTCTCAAAGACAAATAGTAAGGTATCTTTTCAAATATTAAATATAACTCAAGCATCTGAAGAGGAGCCCTGGCTGGTGTGGCTCAGTGCTCAAGGCAGGTAACTGTGTTGTAGATTCAATCCTGGCCCCAATTGTGGTGCACAGAGGAGTCAAGCTGTCAATGTGTCTTTCTCACATTGATATATTTCTCCCTCTCTCCACCCCCACTCCCTTCTCCCTTCTATTCTCTAATAACCCAAATGTCCATCAGTAGATGAATAGATAAAAAAGCTGTGGTACATATACACAATGGAGTACTATGCAGCTGTAAGAAAGAAAGATCTCTTAACCTTTGAGATGGCATGGAGGGACCTGGAAAGTATTATCTTAAGCAAAACAAGCCAAACAGAGAAAGACAAGTATCATATGATCTCACTTATTTGTAGAATAGAGTGAACATAACAGTCTGAGGAATGGAGTAGTCCCAGAGATGCGGAAGTGTGGTACAGACTGACAATCCCCAGAAGGGGTGTTGCGGGAGAGATAAACCACAGAACTTACATGCATGTATGCATGAACAGTGGACATGGACAACAACACTGGGGAAAGGGTGGGGAGGGAGGGGGAGGAGGGAATCAGTGGGGGGAAAAGGAGAAACATCTGTAACAAAAATAAATTAATTAATTAAAAAAAAATATATATATATATACTTGGGTGAGGATTAACTGAAAAAAAAAAAAAAACTTTAGCAGAACATGGCAGTTTGGCTAAAAAGCAGAAAAAAATGGGATTTATCAGCAATAAATTATGAGATAAGCTATTTTTCCACCAGCAAGATGGTGCTCCATGAGGGCAGATCGACCTGTGGTGTGTTGTCCACCACTGTATTCCTGGTGCCTTAAACTACCTGGAAGTTCATTAGTGCTCAGTGAGTATGTGTGAAGAACTCTAGTTGGAGAAGAGGGCCTAAAGTCTACCAGTAGTAAACTTTCTTTGTGGGAGCAATTACTACACAGAATATGCGTTCCTAAGCCCCATTGAAGGCACACAGGAACCATTCTTTTTTTTTTTATCCTCACCCGAGGATATTTTTCCATTTTTTGTACAGATAGAGTGGGAGGGAGAGAGAGGAAGGGAGAGAGAGAGAGAAACATCGACGTGAAGGGACACATCGAGTGGCTGCCACCCGCACGACCAACCAGGGCCGGGGACAAACTGCAACCGAAGTACGCGCCCTTAGCGGGAACCGAACCCGGGTCTCTCCGGACCGCAGGCCGACGCTCTAACCGCTGACCCAAACCGGCCAGGGCAGGAACCATTCTTATTCATATCAGGAAGGAATCTAGTTTCTGGAAGACTTTCACGAAGCTTAGAAAGTGTAGGAGGTAAAATACAAGATAAAACCTTATGATCGCCCTGACTGCTTGCTCAGTGGTTAGTGGTTAGTGTCAGCCCTCAGACTGAAGGATCTTGGGTGAGTTCAATCCCTAGTCCCAGTCAGAGTTGTATAGGAGGCAACCAATCGATGTGCCTCTCTCAAATTGATGTTCCTGTCTCTCTCTCCACACTATCTAAAAATCAATGGGAAAATAAAAAGCTTTTGATCAAGTCCTTATGACTTTGATTAAATTTACCTTTAAATCCTAGCTCTATAAACTCTATTTATTTCTCTTTATACCCCTCAGAGACCTAACATTTCCCTCGATAATTAGCAACCCTTAGGCAGTAGATTACAGTAGCCTAGACCTGACTAATGGTCACAGGGTCTGGAACTTGGCCCAAGACACAAAAGAAGTGAAGGAATATTCTCACTGAAAGCTTTCAAAAAATAGAAAAATGACACCTGGGTCTTGATTCACCAAATGCCCCAAGTGGAAGTCGATCAAGGAGATGAGGGCCACTTGAGCAGCCATAGAGCACTGCAATGGTTGAAAGTTAGGTTCTGGGGTCAAGTAGACTTGCTTTAGATCCTATTTTAGCTCGATCATTTTAAGACCTTGAACAATCACTTTATTCTCTTTAAGACCCAATTTCTTCATTTGTAAACTTGAAATAATAGTAGTTACCTCAAGAGTTATAAGAATTACATTAACATGTAAAGAAAAGTATTTGGCTTAATCCTGACACACCTTAGTTGTTTAATGATTTGTTATTATCCTTCCTTTACTGCCCTCTTTATGTAAAATATTTGAAGGAGATTGGTAATGGGGATGACAAGGGAGATCAATTACATGTTCAGACCTCTCTGCTATGGTAGAAAGAGCTAAAAAAGATTATGATTAAATCCTTCTGACTTTGATGAAATTTGCCTTTAAATCCTAGCTCTAGAAATTGTATCCTTTTCTCTCTATACCCCTCAGGGACCTAACCTTTCCCTCGATAATTGGCAATCCCCTAGTCAGTAGACTACAGTAGCCTAGACCTGATTAATAGTCACAGGGTCCAGAACTTTGGCAGACCAAACATAACATTTTGATGTGAGTTATGTTAAAGAGTTCCTGGCTACTTTCCCATGAGACCAGACAGAGGGACACAGGCGCAGACCTCAGAACTGTCTTCAAGACCTGAAGAATTGAGTTATTACTCTTATCTCACCTCTGACTAATTAGCAACCAGCATGACCCCAAACTCCCTAGCCCACAGTACCTTGTGATTTTGCCCTATGTCACCTATAACCTACATGCCATGGAGAAATTGGACCTTTAGCATTAGTTTCCTGTCTCTGATTGGCCAATTCAATATTAAACTTTTTCTTTTATCTTGTTCATGCTTTTTTGTGTGCCAATGTATGTAGGCAGATGGACTAAAAATCATTGTGGTTCCAGTTAAAAATTGTGGCCATGACTAGAACCAGGGGTTCTCAGCAGAGTCATGAAGCCATGACTTCCATGGGACACACTGAAGGAAGTGAGAACCAAGGGTCATCCACAATGCACTTTGTGAAGAAAAGCACTTCTATGAAAGTGCAGAAAGTAGCCAAGGTCAGAGTTCCTCTTAAGAGGGACAACTTTTTCTGATAAGAATTTTCTTATTAAAAGGCAGATTTTATAACACAAATCTTCTTGATTACACTGTTTCCTTTCTGAGCATGACACCGGGACATTTTAAGGTATAACCTGTTATAATCACCATCAGCTGATTGTAGTGTCATCCCTGAGGAGTCAGAGGTAAAAGGAAACCTGGTCTTTGGCAAAGACCGGGGAGGAGAAATGTTCTCCAAATATAGAAAGAAAGTTCCTAGGTGACCCTTTCACCAATAGTCTGTTCATGCAGAAAGAAAACTTCAGCTTCTCTTTTTGTGGATAAAGAAATGGGAATCCAGAAAAGGGAAGTACATTGCCTGAGAAGACATCTGGGAGGTTTCCCGATTCTGTCCTGACTGGTTGTTACAACACACTTCATTTTGTCATGTGTATTACTTTAATTTTTCTTCAGATTTATGTCTCCCTCTGGGTATCTTACTAATGCAAACACTACAAAGGTGATACTGTGATACCCTCAAACTTTCTAGTTAAAGCCAGGCTGTCCACTTTGCTGCCGTGAGGGCCAGGGGTAA